TGAGTGACCGATCCTGGCTTGGCACCGCTGGAATCGTGCAAGGAGGGTAAGAAGCACCCACACCTGATCTCCTATCTTTAGTGTACACATATTTTGAAATAGAGCTTTATACTTTGTTTTCTTTCTTTGGGATTGTGGCTTCAGTTTTCTAACTTGTTTGTGTGTGTAACATCTCTACATTTAAATAAGTAGGCACTAGCAATTTTGTAACCACATGATTAGAATCTAGTTTAATAAATTTTGGTAACCATTTGTGCATAAGCCTGACTTGTTTCTCTGGTTTACTGTAAAGCAGCCAACACAATTAAAGAACCTCAGCCGTTTTGGCTATAAAGCCTGGCCATTAGGTGAGAGTACTAAGAGCCTAGCATTGAGTTGTGCCGCCTCCACAGGGCAAACTCTTGGGGTGCCTGTCAGTCAATCCTGACTGCCCACTGTGAAGGAGCTCTGGAGCTCTAGCAGTTAAAGTCACGGGTGTTTAGGACCTTGGGGCATCCGTCAGCCGAGCCCAGGCTGCCCACCGCGAAGGGACAGTGCGTCCTAGCGGTTAAAGTCACGGATGGTATAAAACGGGCATAGCTGGCACCTCACCAAACATCCTTGGCCATCGGCTAACAGTCAGTCAGGGGGAGTGGTCTAACGGTGCCTCAACCTGCCCATCAAAAGTGGTGCTTAGACATAGAGGGCTATGAAGAAGATTGTGGGCCAGGTGGTTTGCATTTAGAGGATTTCCCTTTCTTTCTTTGTGACTCGTAGTGGCAGTGAAGTTGGTACTGAGATGCCTGTGGTCTATGTTGGGACAGGGAACTAAATCGTCTCTTTTGTCCCTGTATATAGATACCCAATGACCAGAGGCTAACCCTGGAGTCTGTCAGAGTGTGAAGGGAAGCGTTAGTCTTCTTGGCAAAGAGCTTCATGCCCTCAAAGGAAAGGTCCTCGCACGTGGACTTTCGGAAAGCCCGACAAATGGATCCATGACACTCGTCGCATAACCAAAGCCGTAGAGATAGAGCTAGCTGCCGTGTTGGCTGCACTGAGGGCAGATTGCAGTGACGTCTTTGCCATTAATTGGCCTTCCTGGATAATGGCCTTGAATGAGTCACAATGTGCTTTGGCATCTTTTCAATAAAGTCATTCCGTTTTGAGTAATTTATGAAATCGGATTTTGCCATGAAGGCCTGGTAGTTGGCAATACGAAATTGTAGAGTGGCTGAGTAAGCTTTTCTACCGAACAGATCAAGGCACTTCCAATCCTTGTCATAGGAGAAGCTCTTGACTGGTGTTGTCGACCACAGGAGTTGACGGTGTGATGGAGTTGGTTGGTGGATGGGAGAATAGGAATTCAGCTTTCTTGGCAGGGCTATAGTATTTTTTTTTTGTCCGCTCGCTGACAGGTTGGGGCCACTGATGCCAGGGTGTGCCACACAGTCCCTTGCCAGGTCTAAAATGGCCTCAATCAGGAGGGTGATCTTTGAGGAGGCCGAAGAATGAAGTACCAAGGAGTTGATGGTGGGTATCCTTGACTTCCTCCAATGGAATCTAGAGCACGTCAGCCACCTTCTTTGTTAGCTCCCGAAGGGACGAAAGTCGTCTGCCAAAGATGGTGGAGAAGCCATGACAGCTTTGTCTGAAGAGGAGGAGGATGATATGGTCCTTGGTATCACTTCCTCTTCAGTACTGGCTTCCTGTTCCTCTAAGTCTTGAGGCAATTCAGAAGCCCTGGATAGTGTGGCCGAGGGTAGTGTGCCTCAAGGGTTCTCGGACGAGGCTCAGAGGTCGAGAGGCATGATGGCAGTGCGCACCCAAGGATCCCAATATGGCCTTTGAGGTGGTGGTGGCATAGAACCTGGTATTGGCACCCATGGATAGCCATACCAGGATGGTGATGATGGGACCATCTGTGGGTATATCCTGGGGCTCTGTTGGTAATGAGCACCATATGGAGCTTGGGAGGAGTACTGCAACACCACTTCCTCGGGCTCACTGTTTGAACCCTCGCTAGAGAGCAGAGGGGAATGGCATGGCAGCAGGGATACTCCCCAGGCTTGGTAGAGGCTTGGTGCAGAGGTCTCAGTACTCAAAGGAGGGGACTTGTGATGCGGAAGTCATAACATTGTTATGACTGCTATATAAAAAGGAGTGGTGGTGCCAGGGGGGACAGATCTTTCCCGCACCAATTGCTCTGGTGCCTGGCGAGCCATCACTGGTGGTACCGATGCAGACTTGCATACTAGAAGCATCTTTTTAGAACAGTGCTTACTCCTGTCTTTCAGTGCCAGTGAGTCAGTGCCCATACCCATTGGGTCCGTGGGCCTGTCAGCAGTACCAGTTGCAGTCGGTTTCCATGAGCCATGGTGCCGGACTGAGATTGCCTCAGTGCCGAAGATACTGAGCGAGACGGTGATCGCTTGCAGCTATCTCGGCGCTCACTATGGAGGCTTCCTGCTGTCTTCTTAGATGATTTGTGAGAGGGGTCCACACCCCTTAGATGTAGAAGGCTGTGGGAAAGACTCACATCTACCAGGAAACTGGGGTCGGAGAGCTGCCTCCATGAAGATAACCTTCTGGCGGAGTCCTCTGTCTTTGCAGGATCTTGGCCAGAGTTGTTGGCGAAGGTAACACTTTTGTTAAACGTGGCCTTCTCTGAGGCAGTGAATGCACTGAGAATGCTTATCCACAATTGGGATCACCTCTTTACAAGTGAGGCAATTCTTGAAGCTCAGCGAACTGGGCATACCCCACTAGGGGAAAAGGTCCCCATTGGGGGAGAAAAGGCCGGAAGAAAAAATAAAGTCTTCTTTAAATTTTATTTTTAAGGATAAAATAAAAGTAGAAAAACAACTAGAACTACAACTAGGAAACTAACTAATCATAGGTATGTAAATTAAGATGACAGTCTTAATGGACTGCTAATGGCTCCATCTCTAGCCAGGGGCGGTTGAGAAGGAACTGAGGAGGCCATGCATGCTGGCTAGCTTCCTGGCAGAGCACGAGGAGAGACAATGTATGTGCGGGCACAATGGACACTGCTATTGAAGTTCTCAGATTAGCAGCCCAGAGATGCAAGCACACCTAGAGTGGAGCACCCACAAGGACACTACTCGAAGAAGAATCTATATTTTTCTTTTTAAACAGAGTTAAAAGCAGATTGTTACCATCTGCTTGTTTACTACTTACACAGCCCTCATCTATAGTGTCTAATCAGTAAGTTCTGACCGTTTGATTTACAATTACAGTTTCTTGTTTTCACTATTTTCTGTACTCTCAAAAACTCTCCATCAAGAAACTAACAGAATTAAAGACGTTTCCCCTCACATCAAGAAGAAATGAACACCAGCTGAAATAACACTGTTATGACAAAGATGGGATGGGGAATCCTATGGAGCAATTAGAACCTGTGATTACATAAAAGTTATTATACTGAATAAGAGAATAAAATTACTGCAATGCCCAAATGTAATCTGCTAAATACAGCTTTTGACCAGGATTTTACACAATAAACCTGTGATAAAAGCATGTACTTGAACATTAAGAATATATTATTTTAGCTATGGGCTCTAAATCATGAACAAAGGACAGCTCAAAGCATATACAGATAATGCAACGGATTCTCATGTAGCACGCAGAAAGGAAGCATTGCACACTCCTGAGAGCCAACTCATTGCAACAAAGATTGGTAAATCAAGAAGTATAGCCATCTCTGCCTAGTTATTCATATCCCATCTCAAGGGACTGAACTGACTCATCCCTTCACCAGCAAGTAGATCTCTGGGGAATCTGGGGGAGGGGGCTGTTGGGGTTTTTTTTGGGGGAAGGCCAATGGGGTTGGTACAAGAGATTACGCTGGGCAAAATAGACAGTACCTGCTCCCAAGGAGAGGACTGGAGAATCCTCACCTCCTCATCATGGTCCCTGGCTCCACTACTCACTGGTCCACGTGAAGGGGACTGAAGAATCCCCATCTCCTTTTATAATTTGGAGGATTATAATAAAGATACAGGAGTGACCCCTTAGCTAAAATTGCGACAAGTGAATTAAACACACGCATATGCATATGCACTCCCCCTTCTAACAAAGTTTTTTTGCATCTAGCAAAGAATTTTTTTAAAACAGATAAAATTAAAAGTATAAGACATTTTTTAAAATCTTATTTAAGTTTTTTCTTGATCTAGATATGAAATATTCCTTCTATTCATATTCTTGAGTGAAGTCCAATGCATAAACTATTTTTGATAAGATCACATGCAATTTTTGTTTTTAGTTATTTATTACAAAAATATACATCCTGGAGCTCTAACAGGTTCCCACAGAATTATTATAAGCTTCTGCATAGGTATCAAAGAGCTTAAAAACTCCACAGGCAGGAATTTAGAAAAATCAATAAAACCAATAGTTACAGTTCAATGAGTTTAGAACTTCTGCAAAAATACTTGCGAACCGTAAGCTTTGCAAACAATCATTTGGTGCAACTGATGCTCCGAATTCCATTATCGTTATGGCTAATTATACTTCCGAGACCGTATGGTGGGGTTTTTAGCTTTTTTTGTTTGTGTGGTTTCTCCCACTTACATGACTTCAAGAAGCCATTGTAGGCCTAGAGAACTCATGCAACCTAAAGAGAGAAATCACCTTTTCCATAATGCACCCAAACTACCAGGCCAACGTACAACAAGCCTATGAGCTGGCCAAACTCGCAATACATTTAAAAAGTTACACAAAAGTTGATTTTTTGCTGTCGATACAAAAAAATATCAATCTTTCTGCTATGAAGACACTGGCAAGGCAGAAAAATAGCAAACAACTCTCAATTTAAGTGCATTGCTTTTCTTATCTTCCTAGATTTGATCGTAAGTGTGATACCAGCAGCAAAAGCAACAATGAATACTATATTCTGTAAGAAAATAAGTCATTAAAGTTGCACTTATCTCTTTCCACTTTCAGTTAACATCTCAATGTGCATGGACATAGTCTATTCAAAAAAAAGAATGTTCTAAACTTACCATATATATGAAAAGAGGCACAATGCTCTGCAATGCTCCCATATATTGTCCAAGAGCTATGTTAAATCTTTCAATATACAGATCTGGAGGGCTGGCCTGCAAGAAACAGTAAAAGGGAAGGAGTAATTTTAACACAAAGGAAAACACAAATGTAGGACACCATGGACTAAACTTTCAACTCAAAACTCCCAAGGCTATAAAGGATGCGACACTTAGTCCAAGAGGAGCAAGTCACATATTAATCCAGAATTCCTATTTCCACTTAGAATTAGAACAACCTCCACCAAGACACCCAGCAAAAACTTAGGCTACAACACCCAGTTCCCCCCCAGAAATCTGTCATTACTCTGACAAATATGTCCAATGATACCTCCAGCATGCCTGTAGCATAAACCAGTATTTAGCACAACCAAGTATATACATTTAACTAAGCATCCAAACATTCTTTTGAAAGGTTTAGTCTGTCAGGGCTAGATCCTGACAATGAATCTGTATGGGTATTGAAGTATGCCTGCATGGATCCATTTTTAGGATCTACCTCTTAGACATTATGGTGACATTAAACCACTGCTCGGCATATAAGAAACTGTGTCTCTGGGTTTTGCTGAGTTTTTCAGCGTGAGGGAAGTATGATCAGACATTTAGTTGGAGGTGATGTGAGGCATAATGCCTTATGAAGCTCCTAGGGCAGAAGCAACAGCACCACTCTTAAGGGGTTTGCTACTCTCCAAGGCCAGTCAAGTTTGCTATTAAACTTTAACAGGGAACGTGCCTTCCCCTGCCCCATCTCCTTCCCACAGTGCAAGTAGGAGCAGGTAGTTCTTATGCTCAGACGAGTGTGAAGACTGCAACAGTGGTTGAACCCTGTGCAGTGGCAGTGAGAGAGATGCACATTTCTCAAGCGGGTCTGCCACACTGACTCTTAATGCTCATTCAGAATGGTTCGCATTATATTAATTCCCGTGGGTAGGTGTGCGGTTATTTAGCTACACCTGAAATATTGCCTCATCTTCACAAGCCAGAATTCTTATCTTCTAGGTGATTTCACTGTTACCAGTATTTTCATAAAGACATACTAACACTACTTCTAATATGTTCAAAACCAATCATTCCATACAAGGCAAGGTTTTCCAGCAATCTTTTTTTTCTTAATATAGCTAGTAAATTCGTAAAAAGTGTTAATTTTCACAGTCGGAACCCAGTTACATGGAAACAGAAGTAAAGACGTTAAAAAGGCAAATCAAAAGCCACAAAAGAATAAAAGAGATTTTTTGGGTACATTGTAATAAAAGTGACAGAGTTATATAGGATCAAATTGAACAAGTGTAACAAATGTATGATTAAAAACAGATTATAGGACCAATTCTCAGGCCCAGCCAACCCACTCTTGGAACAAAATGCAAATGAGGAGAGGGTATGTAGAGGTGGCTATGAGCTCGGAAGACTCCTTTTTCATACACAGTGTTTAGAAGACATTTATGCACAAAAACATATTTGCTGAAAGTAGTGTGCCATCAAATCTCATTTTCCAAGCAGACAGTATTTCTGCTTCCTCTAAAATATGTTCCCTTCCACTTCTGCACCCCAAACTATGGTCTCCAAGATACATTTTTGTGTCTGTCTGTGCTATTTTATTATTGAGATCATTTCCAGTTTTTAAAGATTTGTTGTAACCTAAGTAAAGTTTTTTTAAAAGGAAACTTCCACCTCAAGGGATGTGTCAAACAGGAGACAATCTCACACTGGACATCTCTATCCTTATCTGGCCATGCGAAATTCACATAAGACTTTCAGCAAAAAAAGAGAAAAAAGTCAAAGACATAATAAATTGTTTTACCATATTTGAACACTCTGCCCAATACATTATATCTGATCTCCCATTAATGTGTGTCCTGGAGTTTTATTTAATGCTTATTTCTCCCACAAAGATTAAAATATACCTTAATTTCACCTAATGAAACAGTCATATAGGGCTCTAAGAATTCCCATGACGAATACTGACTACAACCCAAGTGTCATAAAACTCCACCTGATTATGGTGTCTCTGGAGTTCCTCTGATACAATGAATACACAAAAATGAGCAGAGTAAAGAACTGTGACCATCATCTCCTTATAATAAAGGAAGAAACTGTTGTGTTAGGTCCTGATCCAAAGCCCTAAAGCACATCTAATTTTAAGTACAAAGAAGGCCAATTGACTTCAGTGGGAATATTTATGTGCTTGAATATGTACGTGTTTAAGGTTTTGTTGGATAGGAGCCTTAAGTTTCCTTAACTTGCATAGTAACTGCCAGTGTCAAATAATTAATGCCGAGTAAATTAACGAAGCCAAGCTGCCTATCTTCATTTTTATTCTTCTGGTATTTCACATTGGCCCTTATACAGTTGATGGCAGCCAGTGTCTGACAGTAACAACAAGGAGTCTGGTGGCACCTTAAAGACTTAGATTTATTTGGGCATAAGCTTTCGTGGGTGTCTGACAGTAAAGCACTGAACAGCTAAATCCCATTCACCTCCAAAAAGCTATCTTTAAAGTGACAATATTTCACTCTCTTTATCAAACAATATCCCCCCTCCTTTCCCCTGTAAACTACTGTAAACAAAAAAATCACTATGAAGAGTATTTCATAATTTTAAAAGCATTTCCTCCCCACAGTGATTCACAACAATTCTTTAGGTACCTAAAAGGAAGTCCATAGCCTCATTAAATTTTTCCCTCCTTTCCTTAAATTTTAAGTTCAATGGTATTTTACTGTAGGGTTGTTCCTAACTGTTGGACTGCAATGAGCTACTTGTTTCAAAGTAAGGACTCTACGCAGTAAGTCCTTCTTCACACGAATAGCCCCAACGACTCTAGTGGGACTATTTGTCTAAATAACTGCATAGACTTTGCAAATTAAGAAGAAGAAATGGATCTTGGACCTATTCAGACAGTCAAGTAATCAGACTTCATTAAAATGATTCTCTACAGGGGCTCTAGTAGAAATGTCACTTCTATTTTAAATCCCTATTTTCAGTCGGTTATAACTATCATAAAAGATACTGTCTGCTCTGGCTGAAATTTCTCATTCTTGGTCTCAGTCCAGAAGCAAATTATTATTGAAAATATTAACAAAAAAATCCATTCAGCCATTTAAATCATGGAAGAAATAGTGAAGTACGACAACTACCTTTTTACAGCTAGGTGAGGCAATTATGAAAGACTTTAAACTCGGATTGCCCTTTAACTAATGAACTGTAATAGAAGAAACATGCTAAATAGAAAAGTGAGATACTGAGAAAAAAAAGTTAAAGATTTCACACAAATATCTGTATGCAAGGGAAATGAAAAACCATGCAAAATATCTACCGAAATTGTTTCAACTGCTTGGGTAAGATCATTACAGGAAAGTTGAAAAATATCAAGAACCAGGAAAAAAAAATATTTGAAACCTCCAGACCATTCAGGATAAAGGAAAGATTGAGTACACCACTAAAGAATGTGAACATGGCTCCTGCCTCCTCTTGTTTTGTTAAAAGGCTTTTGGACAGCTGGGGTTTGGTTATGGAATAATTGGTCTTCGTTTTTGTTCATTTTTCTTAACAGAAAGGTACTTAATGATTCTGCATTCTCAGTTCCACTGACTCACAGGTAGTTTCTTTGCCACAAGGCATTTCCTCTCTCCCTAGATCCGTGCCCTGTCCACACTGTCTACAGTGTGACTGGCTGTGGGTAGAGGTTCACAAATTATTTGTGCAAAACCAAGGCCGTAAAAGTGTAGCAAAGACATCTGGAAGTGTTGCATCAGAGGTTTTGAACTCTCCCCAGACAATAAGTCTGGGCATTCAATTACAATGGAAGTCTTTCCCTCTTGGGAGCTTTCATATTTTTTGGAGGCTACAGTTTGCCAGGATGCACACCTTGGATTTGCCTCTGGATGTAACCAGTGGAGGTACTTGAGCTAGAACTCCCTTGTTTTAAGAAGAGAGGACTACTGGAAAGTCATTATCTATGAGTGTCTCTCAAGTTTGGAATTCACTCCCTTCACTTGAAATAACCTAACTTTATTCAGAGCATATTGGAAATTAATCTATTTTCTTAGGGATTAAATAGCTATAGGCTGGTATACTTGAAGAAGGTGAGGTATTTTTACGTTAACTTGCTTTGGGTGGGTATTTTAAGAGAAAGGAGAAGATTAAGCTGCTGATTTTGTATATGTATTATGTAAATTTTTGTCAAAGCCATCTAGAGGGTAGAATAGCAATCTTTTTTAAAATTATTTATCAATCAAAATAAGATTCATTACAGGGTGGATATTTCACATTTTCATCTACAGATACAAAAAGTCTTTTCCTCTTCCTTCTGCAATAAAACTGTTGGCAACTGTGCTGCTTTAGGCTGTCATCTTTATCACCCAACTGAATAGCAATAACCATGCTGCTAATTCAATAGTATGATATCCAGCACAGATGTGCCCCATTTTTTGTTGCAGAGCACTTGCAGATCAATATTCTTTATTCATATGCGGAGGAAGAAAGATACAACTCTCTGACCCTCAGTATCTAATACTTCATAAAAAAAATCACTAATCTAATTCATTCAAGTAAAAAACTGTTACTAACCTTGCGTAACTGTTGTTCTTCTAGCATGGAATGGACATGAGCAACACATCTTGGTGTGCGCGCATTGCGTGCACTGTTACCAGAAATTTTTCCCTTAGTGGTATCCGCAGGGCCAGCTCCAGTGCACCTCTGGAGTCACACGCATATGCGCCGATGTAAGGGGCCTCGCAGCCTCTCAGTTCCTTCTTGCCAGTAACTCCAACAGAGGGGTAGGATCGTGGGTCATGGAATGGACATGAGCAATGCATCTCGAAGAACAACCGTTTTTTCTTTTTAGAGTTCTTGCTCACGTCCATTCCACGCTAGGTGATTCACAAGCGGGACCCCTGGAGGTGGGCTCCGAGTTCATGGATGTGAAGTAAAATCCCTTCCCTCTCGAGTCCCGGGAAACTTCCTCTACAGCCCCCACATGTAGGAGGAATTGCACCTCTGGGCAAGGAGTTGCTCGTGAGAAAGGTCCCTGAAGAGGGACGGGATGGTGGGTGGGAGGGAGG